CAGTCTCTCTGCATCCTTGCCAGCATTTATTGTCCTCTATTTTTTTCTTTTTAAGATATTTTATAGTGTGGAGGGACAGTTGAGAAATAGAAGTGGAAATCAGTTAGGCCTCTCTGTGTTTGGAGAGTCAGCATGGGGATAAATAAAACACAAAACCCACTGTCCTCCAGTGAATTTGGCAACATTTAGGCAAAGTTAACAGACTGTTTTCCATTTGGCTGATGGCAGTGGTTATGTGCTGTGGAGTTGGTTCTGACTCATAGCACCCTGCATAGGGTTTCTGAGGTTGTAATCTTTACTGGAGCAGAAGGCCTCAGCTTTCTCCCATGGAATGGCTGGTAGTTTCGAACTGCAGCCCAACTCATAACCACTACGCTACCAGAGCTCCGTTTTTTCCATTTTAGTTACCCATAGAAATTTAAATACAATATCTAAAGTTACCTTGATTGCATACACGTTATATGTCTCATTTCATTGACCCCTTGTTGTAACCCTATGGTATCAGTACTAGTTCTTCCATTGAGATTTGGACACAGCTTGTGAACAGTAGGACCAGCATGTGATTTGAGGGCACTGGTTCCCAGTCACAGTCCAGCATGTTCTGTGCTGTCCACATGGCTGTCCCTGGCATGGATATTCTTTGCACTCCTGAATGTTTTCTTGGAGATAGTTCACTTCATTCCAAGTGGTTCATGCTAAAGATTGAGATTGTGTAACCTTTATCGCGAGGCCAAGAATCCTATCTAGGTAAGACAGGTCCTTCTGGGGATTCTCCATCTCCACAGGGCAAGGTATGTGGCACCTTGTGTGGCAAAGTATAAGCTGGGGGATTATTAACTTACTGTGAACCAGGATGCATGCACTGTGTTAATTTTGATAGATTTGGTATCTTGAAACCAGAAATGCAAATAAAAAGTGTCTAACTGTGAAGTAATTGATTGTTTCTATCATTTTAATTTCAGGAGAGTTTAATTAGCATCAACAGCACTTCCACAGAGATGGGCAATTTTGACAACACTAATGTCACTGGGGAAATCGAATTTGCCCTTCGGTATTGCTTCAGAACCCACTCTTTAGAAATAACCATCAAGGCCTGTAGAAGTCTTGCCTATGGAGAGGAAAGGAAGAGGAAGTGCAACCCGTAAGTTTCCTCTCCTCCTTGTTGCTTTCAGTTTTGAAATTAGATGACAGACATATAGGTTCTGACGTTCATAAGGGAAGGAAGTACAAGTTAAAGAACAATCCAGACCATGGTCAAAGCAGATAAATATGGAAAGTTTTACTTCAAGAATCATTCTTAAACCTTGATTGCAAAGAGCAACAGAAAAGTGCAGATACACACTC